CCACAGCCATTCCTTTTGGAGGAGAAGTGAATGGATAGCCTGCAGCAAGTGTGGCAAAAGCACCAAGGAAGTTGATGGAAAGGTGCAAACCTGGACACAAAACCCGTGCCGCAGTGCAGATGGACAGCAGAAACTGCATTTTGCACCTAGCTCCAGCAGCTAGGGAGGAGCAGCTGGGCCTAGAAGGCCTTGAAGCGATTTGGTGGTCGGATAGCAGTCCGCAGGTCCAAGGCGAAGCGAGCCTTGCCTGCTGCCACTTTTGGCCCTTGGGCTGTGGCGTCGTGAGAGCAGACGCAAAAGAACCGAGAAAAAAGGACAAGGAACATATACTTGCATAAGCAAGGGAAAAGGCGGGAAATAAAATAACACACAAAAAACAAACAGCCGGGAAAATAATTCAAATACAAAAAACCGAACCATCCAGCTGCAGCATCATGAGAGAGTGTCCTGGTAACAACTCTCCATGCAGTGCTTTCCTACAGATGTGGCAAGGACTGAGAGCAAAACTAGATCGTGTCAGCAAGAAAACCAGGTTGAAGTACATGCGAACCGGAGAAATGTTCAGTCGTTCAAACCGTTAAATTGAAAAGGCAGCATGACTGCTCGCCAACCTTTCGAAAGAGCTCCCTGGAAGCCTGGAAGTGCATCCAAAATTCCGAATAGCTTGGGGTGTTCAGCAACTGCGGGATGGTGCACTGCTAAAGCCAAGATGATTCAAGACGATCAACACGCGTGTCTGCATTCAAGGCAGAAAACATATATATATATAATAGTTGCAAGTTGCAACTCATGAAATTCTCAGTGCACCAGAGGCAGCTGGCAGCTTTCTTTCAGTCTGGCAGGAGGTGCGCATTGTGATTTTCCATTTTGCAGCCACTTGCAGTCACTTGAAAGCTGTTTGCAAGCAATCTGGTGACAAGTGGCTGCCAAGTGGCTGCCAAGTGGCTGCAAGTGGCTGCCCAAGCAAGTGGCTGCCAAGTGGCTGCAAGTGACTTCTTCCTCTGTCCGGAGAATGCAGTAATATCTCCGAGCTGCGTGGAGAAAACCAGGATTTCTTCGATGCTTTTCCGGGAAGAAACCCCGTTTTCTCCAGACATCGTATGACGTCGTGATATTTTCCGAGGCTTTTCCAGAGCTGGCGGCGAAGAAATCTCAATATTCTCCACCGGTTAAGAACTCTGAGTAATCTCCAGTGACTTGGCAGCTGCTTGCTAGCTTTTTGGTTGCAAGTGGCTGCCAAGTGGCTGCAGGTGGATACCAAGTGGCTGCCAAGCTACTTGCAAGAGCAAGTGGCTGCAAGTGATTGCAAAACCAAAAATCTGAATTTATGTCATTTGTTCATAGTGAACATTTAGAATGCCACATTTATTTTACTATGATTCCCATGCCCTGAGCAAGACAAACATGCTGAAACACTAAAATATACAGCACAAGAACTTCCACCGACACAACTCTGCACCCAAGTTATATAGCCCAGCTGAAGCGCCTGGTCCAAGAAGGAGATTTAGGCTTCAGGGTGTTCTCCTTGAGCACCTGCAAGCAACGGCACCAGCAATAGCTTGGGTAGAATCATCACTCAAACACCTGTCATCTACAAACTAATCAATTTATGGTTTGTAGTCCATATTGCCTTTTATGTGAGAACAGGAAATTATAATATTTGGGTAGAGAACTTCCCGGGGGGAAATGAGCTCTGAAACTGTTCTTATCCAAGGATATCCACAGAACCTCAGCAAAGGATTCCACAATATTTTTGCACCTTGAAATTGCAAGTTTAGGACTTCATTAAACTGAGACCGGTGTTTTCCTAGGGATTTAATTATCTAAGTGTTCCTGCTTGACCTGCAGTACACAGGGTGATAATATAAGTATATATAAAGCAGGGCTGCCCGGAGTGTTCTCGTATGGCCCACGATTCGTCAGTCTGAGCATCCCTTCAAGGGTCATGCCATGACGAGGTGTTTTTTTCAGCGGGCTGACAGGATGAATCAGAGATATATAATTGCAACATGGAATGGCTGACGGTGGCTAACAGCAACAGTAACAGACTGGGGCCTGATAATTTCTGTTTGTTTGCTTCCACTGCGCGTCCCGAGTCCCCATTCTTTCATTAAGGCTAGAACATTTGCACTGGTTGCGTCGACGTCCGGGCTCCTTGCGGCCTCTCTCCTTGGAGACCGGACAGCCAGTGAGCAGCATAGCTGAGGCACTGTTTGGGAGAGTGCTGCACCGTGAGTTCGTAAAGTTGGGCATTGCGGCTAGTGCAACATATGTAGGTATATATATATATATAAGTCCCAACAAATGCCGAATCTGGGCTCCTGCAGGCCTCTGTTGGGAGCGAATGGAAGCTCCGGCACGATGTGGAGCAGCTGCGGTACCTATCCAGGTGTGCCCTGACCATGTGGATCAAAGCATGTAATGAAATTGGTCAACATTTGTGGAGAGAAGCACCTGCAAATGGCTGCCTTGTTTGCCATGCTGGCCCAGGCGGCCGCGTCGGCAACAGGTGAGACTTTTTGGGGAGCTGCAGCTGCCAGCTTGATGGACTTAGGTTATGAATAAGTGTGGAATGTGCTGATCAGATCCTGGCCATTGCAATTCAAAATGCATCCTTTTCAAAAGCCTCGGAGCTTCTAGAGTCATGAATCATGACTTGAGAGATATCAGCTGAAAAGGATAGTTGGGCTATTTTCATACTGCTAACAGTTCTAGAGTCCAAAATAGATTACTGGTATTGACCCTCAAGTGCACGCTTGCCGTGGTACTTTTCTCATATTCCCCAGGTTATTGCTGAGCGTCGACCTGTGGTAGATTTGGTCAGGTGTCGCCCTATGCCCCCATGTGCTCGCCTGACTTGGCAACTAGCCTGGCAGAGCCCAGCCTAGTTTGGGCATGACTCGGGACTTGAACTCACTGAGCACTGAGAATTAGGTTTTACAGGCTTGTGTTGCTTTTGCCTTTGCGCTTTCACTTTCAGCTGCGTCTTCAAGACTCACCTTCAGCCCCATCGATCCCCGTGGTTTGCTGGGAATTCTTTGATGAACTAGCCTGCCCAGGATGCTGCTGCGGATCTTCTAGAAACCTTCAGGTTGAAGACTCGATCAATCAGAGATGTCTATCTATCCTTTTGTATATCCATTGATTGGTGGATCGAGCGGAATCGATCGATCTAGCTATGTATATCTGCCGATGTCCAGGACTATATATCTAGAATCTAGCCGCTCTAGCCATATCAATACCACAATCATGTTTCAGTGTGCTTGAGTCCGGTGTTGCAATGGAGGCCTCACCCCGACAGAAACATCTCCGTGCACATAGATGTTCTAACAGCCACTGCCGTGGCATGAGCGCAGTGTGCTTGTGGTTGGGCAATCCTTGTCCCTAGGTCTGGAGGAGAGGATGGCGCCGGAGTCTCAAGATTTTTCGTTTTTGCATGGGTTTTTGCTCCGAACGCCTTCCCAAGGCGAAAGAAGCTTTGGCAGATCAGGGCAAGCTTGCCGCGCACGGCCCTTCAGAGGAAGGATGTCTAAATTAGAACTTAAAAGTAGAAGTAGCAGTAGCAGCAGGAGGAGTAGTAGGAAGGGATGTAAGGGCTGTTTAGAAAGCGTCGGGCTAGCCAAGTCCAATCCGGAAGAATGCAAGAAGGAAACAATGCTCAAACAGGTTTAAAGAAAGAATATTAACGAAAAAGATAAGAAACAGAAAAAAGAAGACGGGGATGCAAGTGTTTTGAACGCGTCCTTGTTCCTACCAGTCTCAGTAGTAGAGCGTTAGTCAGTTAAGTCCAAGACCCTCAAGCAGACAGAGGTAGTACAGAAGAGATTGTTGGTGGAATTCTAAAAAAATCATTGTGTCATAGAAGTTCCATGGCTTTGTCGCGGTGTACTGTAGGTGTACCATATGGCTAGTGGTCAATCGACACCGCGGAAAGAATGTCCAATTGAATCACCAGAGCAAAGTAGCTGAACGGAGAGTGGAGGCAGTCAAGAGCCCGTCACCCCCCTTTCTGAACACAATCATTGCCGAGTTGCTCAAATTAGCCCTGACATCTCTGAAGCTTCGCCGGCGGGACATGTCAAAACCAACCTAAGACTGGACAAAGACGCAACTTTGATGACATGCACACACGTATTGCATCAAAATAGAATCGTGGGAAAGCAGTGAAGCTCATTTCTGCGAGGTCACCACCGACACATACTGTATCCTACTTGGGTCCATTCCTTGCTGTCCAGCATTAAAGAAGCACAAAAACTGACAGTCGGAAGTTCGAACCACCGTGCAGAGAGAAACTCATGAGCTCGCCACGGTCTGCAGCATCCGATGAGGGTCTAGGCGCCAGGGGTCCAGGTTGTAAAAACTTACCAGGTAAACACCTTTGAGCAAACCGTGTGCGAATCCTGACTGCAAGCTTTGAATGGCCATTTGCAGCCTCACTGCCAGCCATTGATCTCAAGATTCTACAATATCCCTTCACAAGCATGAAGGACTGCTACCGGACTGCTACCGGACTGCTACCGGACTGCTACCGGACTGCTTTTGAAGCATGAAGTTCATGTTGACTTGGATGCTCTCAATACAGTGCCAGTGCCACCTTGTTGTCATTCAGAAACACTTGAAGGATCAGTTTGTTTTCTCTCACACCGGCAACTCGTCCATGGCAGGCGTGAGTTTTCTAGGTCCTGCTGTGCTAGCTGTGGCATGTTTATATTCCGGCAGTTCAGCCCCCCCCTCGTGGTGCGTGCTGGACTTGCTTGCCTGGCCCTGTCTGTCATTTTGGCGGTAGCCTGGGTCTATTCTTTCTGGGCCTTGTATGTAGCTCGGGCCAGAGCCCCACGGCGGCGAAATTTCCAAAGCAGGAAGGTTTCCTTCGAATGGTCAGCCTTAGATGACTTTGAAGACTTCGCACCTTTGTTGGCATTGAAGCAGCTGGATCTCAAAGGCGAAAACATCACAGGTGCCCTTGTGCAGGAGCTAAAGCTAGATTTGGAGGCATCCCTTCGACCTGGCAGCCACGAGTTAAAGATTTCAGACCAAAGTAGCCTCATGTTCCTCAGCTTTTGCAATTGGGGGTGTTAATTTTGTGGACTTCGTGGGTTTAAGCACCCTTAAATAGAGGCCTAGACACATCACCCAACATTTTTGCTTTTGTGGAAGGGGATACCTCTCTAGTTGATACCTCTCCGGTGCCATCCCATCCCGTCCCGTTTGGTGTTGCCGCTGCTTGCCGCTGCTTGCCGCTTGCCTTGAGGTTAAATGTCTCCGAGAGGACAGCGAAGCAGAAATGCAAGCTCCTGATTGAAGCCAGGCCGGCCTCCCCTCAACACGAGGCTGTAGCTTCAACTCTTCGTTTAGACCTGCCCGGTGTCCAGCTCAGAGGGGTGGCCCGTGCGCTGGATGGAATTTGGGAACTCTGGTCCAGTTCAGGCTTCCAACAACGAATTAACTTGGAAGTTGTGTTTTGTTTTGCTTGTCTTTCTTCGGCTTTTGCAATTTCAGCACGAGTGTGGTTGCAAAGCAAGACACAACTGTAACAAGATCTCAGGTTCTACTTCGGGTCAATGCCTTCGTTGGCTTTGTGTTCTTTTGTTGCAGCTGTTGGAGGTGGCTTTGCCCATTAACCTCCTTCACGTTGAGGGGGCAGCAGCAGGGGAGGAGTTCTTGCTTTTCTTTTCTGGCACTGTGGGGCCAATCCCTTTTGAACGAATCCATTTGCCTGCTTTCGTTCTTCCAAGACTTCACGCACCACTTTCCAGTTTGATCTCACCAAACCCATTGGTGGGACAGCGAATCCGCAAGAATGCAAACCCGCCCGTAGCACATCCGGGCCTGTTGGCCAGCTGGAAGCTATCGGCAGATGTGAGCGTCCTTCCCTTTGATCTAGATGTAAGGCTGCGTATGCGCGATGGGTCCATTTCCACCTTCCAGGGCTCACTGCTATCCGATGAATGCTTACATGCCAGCTGTCAAAGTTCAGGGTCATTAGACCGGGACAAACTCCAGGTGGATGTGGATTCGTTCACCATCACCTCTACCAAACTTTCAGAGGCAAAGGGGATTCGCGGAGGTGCCAGCATTGAAGTGGCATTAGCTGATGTCGATCCCTTCGAAAAGATCCAGAAGATTTCCCTGCCAGATCACCTCTTCACAGCTGCGCGCCAAGGCCTGAAGCCAAGCTCACTAGTCTTGGGCTTTAAGGTGAACCTGGCCGAAAGCCAATTGCCGGAGGAGTTCTTGGTCACTTTTCGAGATGAGCATCCCTTGATGTTGGGCAGTGCCAATGTGGCTGCCCGACTTCAGCGCCTCTCACTGCACGGCAACTTGTCCTTGCAAGGCCTGACACTCCCCACACAGCGGAAGCGGGACCTACTTCGGCTGCCCATCACCGACTTGCACTTCGACGCCTCTTTAGAATTGGAGGAGGAGATGGACGTGTGATGGGAGCGCTCATGTTACAAACTCTAGGTGGCTTTGTGTTTTCATTTGATGTCAGCATTCGGAGGAGACCTCCTTTATGGACGATGGCTTTTCCACAGTTCGTTTTCAAGGAGCACAATGTAGCGCGAATGGCCGACTGTGGTCGGAGGGGCCGGAGTGCCTGCAGGCCAAGGCCATTCGCTGCAACAAAGAATGGTAGGAAGAAGGTTTTGATATACATTTCTTTCCCCAAATCCCACCCTCTGACTCTGATCACTGTGAGGTGTGTGCAAGAAGCATTCGTTTGTTTTTTCGTTGGGTGCATTTGTTGAAAAGATCAGGTTCCTTGAGTTTCAATAATGCCATGGTGTTTTGAATTCCACCTGATTCTGATAAACGACCTCTCGCCAGCTGAAAGGGCTTGGGTCAACAGGTCAACAGTTGGAACAACTGAGGCGCTCTCCTCAATAAGTCCTATTGGAAAAGACCAGAGATGAAAAAGGAAGGTGGTTTTCCTACCTTCCTTTTTTTCTAATTTCTGGCTCCTTTTTCTTGAATAAGCGGTATTTGTCCTTCAGTCTCCTTCTCAAGGCTACGGTCACGGCGGCAGGATTCCTGGCAGCCCAGCTGCGAGCCGCTTCCTTGGTGCAGGCTCTGATAGAAGCCGAAACAGCCGCCGCGCGGCTCAGCGGTTCTTCGCAGGGCTCAGATTCGCAGAAAACTGAGACGACAGGGGATGAGGAGACCTGGGATGAGCACCCTTTTTGATTGCTTGATGTCCAATACGCCTCAATACCTAATGTAATATCATCTTCATCCTTGCCTAATGAGAGCCTCTCATTGTGCACCGCACAAACAGATTCAGGCAAAACAGGGGTTGGCTGTGCGGCTGTGCTCAGGAGGCGCAGTACACCTCCGTGCGCGTGGGCGACGTCTTGAAAGTGGATGTGGGGGGCTCCGCCACAGCGGTGATGCATAGCCAGTTGCGGCTGAACCCCAGGCCGAAGGATCTAAGAGACCCAGAGAACTCCAGCCCGGTCTCAAGAGGAAGAGTGGAGGCCCAGAAGTGTGACGAATCACATGGAAAGGTTTGACCAAGATTGGAGTTGTTTGCTGGCTGTGCATCCCGCATCTCAAAGCTAATTATGGTGTTTCTTGTGCACCTTTGATTTGACAAGCAAGCTTTGTTTCTCAAAGCTTTTGCTCAGAAGCACGTTGAGTCGCATCAGTGATTGTGCAGGCTCAGAAGTTGATCGTTGCAGATGTGGATTTTGATGATGCATGCTCCGTGGAAGGAGATGATCGCATGCCTCCCTTACGTATCTCAATCGCTGGCTCGGAAGCAAGCATTGAGATGGGCGAGTGCCGGGCACAGCTGGGAGATTTGGCTTTGAAGATCCCACAGGCCCAGATGAAGGTGAATGCTTTGGAGGCAGAGATCAATGCTGAAGGCATTGGACAAACCCATTTGCGCCTTGCTTGGGATGGCCTTGGACAGCCCTTGTTGCAACACACTGCCAAGCAGCGCAGCGTCCTGTTTCCACAGCCACCCATCGCATCCGGTTTGAAAGTTGAGATCGGGGACATGGGTCAAGTTGGGATTGTGCTCGATGATGAGCCGGACATCGCTGCCTGCGGGAATCGGCTACTAGATGACGAAACGTGGTTTGCACCATTGCTGGAGCTAGCCGCGATTCTGAACCTGGAATCGGTGGCTAAGAAGCTCTTGAATTTCGCACGAGTCGTTCGGAATGTCCTTAGAACTGAAGACATCACCGAGCCGAAGGATGTCATTCCCACAGGCCGCATGGCTCGTGTGATCGCCCGGATCTTGGAGGAAATCGGGACGGACGGTCAACATGTTGCTCAAGCCACTCCCACAAGACTGGAAGAAGACATCTATGGAGTGGTTGAAGGAGCTGTCAAAGGTAAAGGTCTCTTGATGGCAAGTCATGAAGCGAGAATTAGACATGCCTGTCGATGTAGCTGGGGGATGCCATATTTCCTTTGCACTTAGTAGGTTCTTGTTTGGGTGTGTGGGTGTGGCTGGGGTTCTGTTTCTCGCCCTTGGGCCCACCCACTCACCCACCCACCTCCTAGTTCCCTCACAGTTCCTTCACGAAAGATGCTCATAAGAGTAAGAGTGTAATTCAGAGTTTAACACTTTACGATCTAGGTAGTGCAAGAAAGACCTGTCAAACCTGCAATGGCCCTGAGCAAACCGTAAGGTGAGAATGTGAAACAGTACGGTTTACATCATCGAGTGAAACTCTGCGGGTACAGGTTCATGCGTCCATGAAACCTGCCACCGAACTTCCTTAGCGAAGCTGGGCAACGTAGGAAGAACGGTTGTTGCCCCCCTGCTGTAGCTTTCATGCCCATGCAAACCTGATGTGGCGCACACACACACACAGACACACACGTGGCGAGTCTTTGGCCTTGAGCTTGCACCATAGGTCAGAGAGTGCATCAGTTGATGACCAATTGAGGTTTGGATGTGACTCGCATCACGCGGCTTTTGTGGGACCATTTGCCTCCAGAGGCATGCAGCTTCGTCCAAGACTACACCGCTGAGGTGGACTTCGCCATCAAGTGGTTCGATTCGGTTCTGAAGCCCACAGAGCCGACCTCAGGCGGATTGATGTTATGCGGTTTCAGTTGCATTTTCATCATTTTTTCTCATTAAAATTCTGCTTCATCCTGTTCCGTCTTTAAGTCAAGGATTGGGCCCATGGAACATGCAGCTACAACCTTCACCTTGCCAGTAAGACCCTGAAGAAACTGACATGTTCAGGAACATGTGCTCCAAAAAAAATTCTCTTTGTGAAAAGGCACGGTTCGCACGGCTCGACCGGTGGTGACGGCGCGAGGCCCCGACCCAGCGAAGGCCACTGAGGCGCCGCCCCCCCAGCGGTACCGACGAGAGCTTCAAGGCGTGGCGCCCTGCGCGTCGCGGCTCTACGAAGCGGTCGCACGGCCTGGGCAATTGGCGCGAGAACTCGAGGAGCAGCTGATCCATGCGGCACCGTATCTCACCGCCAAGCAGGATGGACATGGACGTCATGGATGTCATGGACGGGGACCTGTCATGTTCGTAGATTGATTGATGGATTGTTGAAAGATGTTCACAGAATGAGAAATGGGAAAGAGATGGGAAGAGTCTTCGAGAAACTTCTCGGCAATTATTGGACGTGCTCTTCAAAACTGCTTCCCAAGTTCCCTGCCCAAAGTTGTGTTTGGAGCTGTATGCTGGGTTGCTGGGTTGGTAACTCGATGCAGGTGGAGCACCTGCTGCGCAATGCCAATGTGGGTGTGACCTTACGGCAGCGTCTCAGATTCTTGCTGGGCTTGAAACGCCGCGTGGAGAAAGTCGCGCAGGGTTATGGTGGACCTGCCTTCATGCCCCAGGGCATGGCAGTCGGTTTCTTTTTGGCCACGGCTATCCGTGCTTCCTTTGCTGGCGAAAGGATGGCTTCTCAAAAGGCCTTCAAGTCTGCAGATCCCAAGAGCGGCAACTCCTCAACACGTTTGGCTGCAGTCTTACGAGAGCAGCACGCCATTGCTCAGGAGCTGTAGCTTGCCTCTCAGAAAGAACGGATTTCTTGGACACATGGGTCAAACACACCAACATGATCCCACAGTGATAGTCACAATTTCTATGCACTTCAGCTCAGATTCAGATGTTTTGGAACAGTGGAGGTGCCGCCTGCAAGAGAGGCAGCGTGTGCTGCTGGAGGAGTCTTTGAGGCTATCTGGTCTGGAGCAGCGGTCTGGGAATGAGCCAAGCATCGAAGTAGATACTGAGGTGGGGCGGAGCAGCAAACAATATATACTGTATATATAATAAATATAATGCAATTTAGTTGAAGAAGTTCATCTCTGTGATATTGAATGGAGGAGGGAGAGAAAGAGAGAGAGAGAGAGAGAGATGCGGAGAACAATTGATTTTCAACTGTGACAACTCCCATTGAACTACTTGAGCTGGGTTGTGTCGTGCGTGCTTGGCACACCCAGGTTCCATCCATGACCGAGAGCCCAAGTTCGATGCTCGAATGCCTCGCTCTACCTGCTGCTGCACCTGTGGCACTGGTGAGTGCAAATGCTGCATATACTCAACGTCAGGCACCAAAGCCAAGTGGGCCAAGCGCCTCCGTGGTGTCCCTTAGTCGTGCTCCGCAGGAAGTCTTCGACTTGGGCTCCTCCCTCTTGGGACCCATGGAGGTAGCAGTTCTGCTACAGAGCGGTCTGGCAGCTGTGCCTCAAGGAAGGCAAGTCCAACAGAATCAGCGAATGCTACTTGAGATGATGGTTTCTCAGCCGCCACTTTTCCTCAAGGGTGTCTTGTACGAGCTTTCCAACAATGGTTCCTCCCGAGTGCTGGGCAATCATCTGCTGGCCCTTTTGGATCTCACTCAGGATGCCATTCGGCCGTGTGCCCGCTTGGATGTGGCAGATCTGCTGACACAAGCCTTGGGCGTGAGCATGCCTCGACGCTCTGACTTTATGGCAGGAGGCAGCTCGGCCAGTAGGTCCTACTTGCTGCTTGTGCACCGGGCGGCGAAGCATGTCTTGGAGGATCGCCGGAGGAATAGAGGCCATGGGGCCCTTTAGGTTTGCACTGTTCACTGCAAATTTGAGGCCAAGCTTGTGAAGCCCTCAGTGTCCAAATATGCGGTACAGGGCTGCATTCCTTAACGCAAGCGTCTTGCTGAAAAATATCATATATTCATTCCACTTCCAACCAAGCATCAGTCCTACATCTCAACCAGACAGGAAAAGAACATAGAAACTGCGGCGGCATGAATACTGAGCAGCATGCATAGAGGATAGCCACAAACAAGAACCCAAGCGGGACGGAATTGGACCGGCGATGTTCATTCATTCCTGATGGTTCTCATGCTGATCCTTGGAGTGTATATAATAGAGCTTTTGGCACATGCGACAATCTCAGAACGCTATGCCAACCCACAATTTCAGTTCCAGGGGAGTTCTTTGCAGGAGTGTGGCCCTTATGTAGCGCTGAAGCATTGGCTGCAGCGCTCTGATGTGCCGCTGCCGCCGGTTCGTGATGCTCCGATGCCCTCCGCAGAGCGCGCGATCCGGGCAGCCCAGCAGAGCATTCAGGCGGCAGATGCAGTGGGGGCTGAGTGGCTACAGGAGCTGTCCGCCCAGATTTGGAGGAAGCATATTATGGAAGCATATAAGATATTGTAGTAATGACATGTGGTATAGTATAACATAATACACAGCACACATTTTTATTTAATAATACACCTGGCATTTCTGCAAGTTGCACCGGTCGAGTGCCTAGATGACCTGGGCACGCACGCGTGTGTTAAACATATTCTATAACATGCTCACCATCATTCAATTGTCATTGATCAAGTGCATGAACGTATGTAGCATTAGGAAACATATTTTGTGCTGCCCTTGTGTGCGCAATGGTGAGATGGGATAGACAGCAGATCTGTGGTCGATTGATGGCCCTGTTGGATTCTCCAATGTTCTCTCAGGCACATTTCAGATGCCAGCTTGTGCATGGTGTAGGACGTGCTGAAATTCCTTATGCAGATAGCATTACAGGCCCGGGCCCGGATATCATTTGGTAATGTTACGCACCGCTCATCACTTGAAATCATCACTTGTGATCGACGTGCGGGAGGAGCGCGGGCCTGTGTGGTCGGATGGTGTGCTTGATGCTGGAAAAGATGCTTATCGCAGCCCCAAGGAGGAGCAAATGCGAGAGGATGCCAGAAAGCTTTACAAGGAAGCGTTTGAAGCATGTGCTCAAGCCTTGAAGGCTAGTCCAGAGGTCCTTCATCAGGACTGGTTCCGGGCCTTCTGGGCACGAAACTATGATGCCCTAACTGTGGTGTCTGTGCTTCGCAATGTGCAGATGGACATTGATGAGACGCGAAAATGGGTTGATGCTCAACTGCGACATGTGCCGACCACACCTGACTTCCAGGGTGTGCGAAAGGCCTGCGACGCATTGTGGCAAACATGCCCTGCCAGTGAAGCTTGTTTGGTGGATTGTCTCATCGAACTCCTTTTCTATGAGCCAAGTGCTCGTAGCAGCTATCGAAAGGATGCCTTAATGCAGCTCATCATCGATGAGCCGCCTGGACTCTTCAACTTTACGGTGGTCTCAGCCATGGGGGTCATCACTGAAGGTGCCCAAATCCAAGAAAAAAAAGCACATGAGATTAACATCACTGTACATGTCTTCTGTCTTCCTCTTTTCCTTCCCTGTCTTGTTTGCATATAGCATTCTATTTCCCCAGATAGCGAAGCTATGGGGGTTCTTACTTCTCAAGGGATTGGTTCCTGATTGCGGAAATTGGCTGCCGCTGCCGCTGCCGCCTTGTTTCCCAAGCTTGTCTCCCGTCATGATTTCGCTCTTGGCTGCCGCGGCCGCCTTGTCTGTTTAGCTTGTCTCCCTTCATGATTTCGCTCTTGGCTGCCTCTGCCGGCTTGTCTTGCAAGCTTGTCTCCCTTCACGATTTCGCTCTTGGCTGCCGCTGCCGCCTTGTCTCGCAAGCTTGTCTCCCTTCATGATCGCCTTGTCTGTGAAGCTTGTCTCCCTTCATGATTTCGCTCTTGGCT